CAGTGAATAGAATACTACACGCAAGCTAACGCTAAATGCAAAAATATTGGAATTAGCCTAGAATCTAAAAGATTTTCTAACAAGTGATTAAGTTTGATGAAAACGAGCGCAAATTCAAGCATATAATTGTATACATTTAGACATTGTTTTAGTTAATGATCTTAAGAGATGTAAATATTTTCTTTTCAAGCTTTTAAACTTTGATTATTTGTCTCCAAAAAGAAAAATAGATGCTGTTTGTTTTTCCAGAACATTATATTAAGACGGCATTAACGATTACAAGTTTCTAATAATCCTAAAAAAATTTTTTTTTTTTACTAGGTAAAATCAATATCTTTAATTAGCTGTAAATCAAATATTTATAATACAGAAAAAACCATTTACAAATTTATATGGTGTTCTGCCTCAAGTTGTTAAAAGAGAAACTTCGAAGTGACATCCGGGACCTAAAAGCTAGTTTTTTAATACAGGAAATTTCTGTTCGAATAAGCGTTTTGCCTAAATGCGAAACGCATAAATCGCGAAATATAAGGTCTCAGGCAAAGTTTCGGCAACTTTCAACGATTTAATTTCTACTTTTAACATGGAAAAATGGGTCATCTACTAGTGATAAGCCTGCCTATTATCCTCCTTAGGGTTTCTTTTTTCTCTGGTTTCAGTCAACTTTTGGTGTTTCGTAAAATATACTCCTTGATATAAAGAAAAAATGAAATTCTTAAATCTCTTCCTAACAAATAAAGGAAGAAACAAACGTAATGTCTTTACAACATACATTGCCATTTCATGTTTACAGTCGGAGTTAACTCACTGTATTACACCGAATTCAACAGTAACACGGACTAAATCTTTATAGAAGTACAAGAGTAGCATAAATCTTACTATTTTGGCTTCTTTTTTTCATAATCGAATTCTCAAGATCCTTAACTAGAAATGAATCAACAATACCAATTATTTATGAGTATCTACTTCTTCCCTCGTAATGTTATCGCTATTGGGATCAACCTATTTTCTGTTTCTAAATAATATATGGTTTGCAAAGAAACCAAAAATTCGATACAGTCTGATAAACTCTATTTGGGAAGAAGCCACACTAAAAGCAAGATTATATGATGATTTTGGGGAAAAGCCTCTAAAGGAGTGGAGAGAGGATCAATCGAGATTCTTCAGAGAAAATATAATCCTAATTTCAATATAAGCACAATACATCCTTGACAGAATAACTAAGATTCGAGAAACTATAAACGCGAAGCATAAACTTGGCGAAAAATCCATGCGTATTATTTGCAAATTAATAAAACATTCAAAAATGTATTGTGAACATTGCATGCGTAAGACAGTTTCATTCGAAATGCCAAAAAGAGAGCCCTGTGGCATATTGCATTATTGAGTGGATCGATTTTTGTGATTTAGAGAATATTGAATTTTTAGCTAAAGGAGGATTTGGAAAAGTTTATACAATTCGGACGCGCGGTGAGATCATTGATTGGAACGTTACAAAGAACGATTTCGTGCGACAACCTAAAAAGGTAGTACTTAAAGTTTTTGACGGAGATGACCTTCCTAGAAATGAATCTTTTCAAGAAGTCATTGATTTGTTAATATGCGGACAATAAGTACAGAACGTACACCCTTTGGTGACCAATGTGGAGAACCAATGTGGAGACCTGTCTTTAGCTTCCAACATTGTATGCGGTCTTCGACCTTCTGTGATTCCTGGAACGCCAAAAACATATGCAGATTTGATGTACAGTACAAATGTTGGGCTAATGCTCGCCGTGAACGCATTTCCGCGAGGGATGCTGCCCAAATTCTCCGAGCGTTGTTGAGAAATATGATGGAGAATAGTTTTTCGATGAGTATTCAATGAACAAAATCAATTATGGAGTTTATCGGAATCAGGCTTTACAGTTTTTCGAACTGGTGAATTAGGACTTTAAGTTACCTCGTTACTTTTTACTTTTTCAGGAAATATAAAGA